AGAACTAAATACACAGGCAAACGAGGATAATTAACAAGATACAGGTGAACTGAATGACACAATCAGACACAGGGGAAAACTAGGTCACGGAGCACATGAGGGAAGAAAACACAACAAACAGTCCTGGGGTGTGACAGTTCGCCCCCCTCCCGGAAGGCGCGACCTCACGCCGCAGACACAAAGGGAGGGATGGAGGGGGACTTAGGAGGACAAACAGAGTGGAGAAGGGTTGATCACTTCCAGCACCGTGAGCACCAGCGACAGGGGAACGACCTCCGTGGTCATTATAATACAGGCATACAGTTCAGGGCAGACAGATAATTCCAGGTAGACAGACAGTTCAAGACAGACAGACAGACAGTTCAAATACGACCTCCGTGGTCATTTCAGGACAGACAGATGATTCCATCACGACCTCCGTGGTCGTGACTGGACAGACAGATGAGGATGGTGGGAGAAGAAAAGGCATATCCGCATATAAATCCACATTGTCCTCAGAGTTCAGCGATAGCTCACCCTCAGCGGCGGTGCAGTGGGCAGGGATTTCCTCAGCACCCTCACGCTCCACAGTAACATCCACCGTCACGTGCGTAGCAGCCGGCTCACGCACCTAGACTGACGTCGCGTGAGGCTCTGGTTCCGGGGCAATCCTCAGCTCTGTCTCTCTCTCAGGCGATGGCTCGTTGGTCACGGCGGGCTCTGGCTCTCAGTCAGCGGTGGGCTCAACTGCTCCGCGAAGCAGGATAATGGCTGGCTGAGCTCTGGGTCGAACATAACTAAAATAAAAACTGACAAAAAACGAAAAACAAAACGCGGGAATTCACGCTGCGTTTCTCTCACTCTTTACGGTCCAGTGTTCTGTCAGGGGTGCGGTGTATAATGAGCGCACGAAGAAGAAGATAAACGTAAACAGTCTTTAAATAATCCACACAGAAGGTATCCACAGAATGCAGGCAGGTAACACACAGTTGTGCAACTTTAACACTGGACGAGGGAACACAGAACAGACTAGAACTAAATACACAGGCAAACGAGGATAATTAACAAGATACAGGTGCTGAATGACACAATCAGACACAGGGGAAAACTAGGTCACGGAGCACATGAGGGAAGAAAACACAACAAACAGTCCTGGGGTGTGACACCTCCTTTTACGCTGAGATCATTCTGAGGTGAAATACAGATTTAATATCATAACAAGAAATAGTTTAATAGCTATGATCCTGTTTTTGATACTGTCATGTATGTTATATATGTATTTATTTTTATTTAAAAAAAATAAATATTGTTATAAATTAAATATTATCCTTATATATGTACATTATTGCTATAAGACTATTATAGTGTTTGGTATAAGAAACATTACTTGTTAATACATCATGTTAATACATCTATTTTTTATTTTAATATAGTTATGTATTTACTTTTAATTTTCAATTATTTTTATGCATATTAACATTATATATGTACACTATTACTACTACTTTTATATTACTGATATTTAAATCATATTTTATGTACATTTTATAATATAAGACCATTACGTTTGGTGAGTATAAGAAACATTACTTATTACATTTCTTTTTTTAATGAAGTTATGTATATTTACTTTATTTTTAAATGAAACATTTTACTTGTATAGGTATATTATTACTGTTGTGAGTTATTTTATATTATTGATATTCAAAGTGTTGTATATTTATAGAAAATGTTGTTTTGTATTAAACGGGTTTAGCATTGAATATAAAAAATAAATATTTTTTCCATAAAGTTTTCAATCATATATATTACGGTTAACATACAAGTCACACTTCCAAACATTTGGTATATCACAAAAAAAACCCTGTCCTTTATAATATAAAAGACTCAAAAAGATTTCATGAGTTTAGTGGACCAATAAATCTCCAAATCAAAGTTTACAAGAATCAACCAATTATTATTTTATCATCATTATATTATTGCAAAACAAAACTATATAATTACATAAAACATTTTAAGTATGTACAGTCTTTAATGGTGCCTAAATAAGACTAGAAACATTTGTTTTGTTTTTTTGTTTAATCAAAACTGCAGCACTGTGTTCAGAGTATTTCACTTCAGCATGCATGAAAAATAGTAAATATATATGGTACACATATGTACATAACAAGGACAATTCCAAAAACTATCAGTCCAACTTGGAGTGAGGTTATTTCCCATAAAAGACATACACTTAAAACAACTTTTTCCCACAATATCCTTTTTTCTTTGGCCTAAGATCATCCTATTCAAAATGACTTCAATCAATTCAAATCTATCTCAGGGAAACTGCATTGAATTCGCCTTGCATTAACTAATTCCATAATAAATTAATTGTGCATCATGTTGGAATTATGGATCATCAAGTCCATCAGAAATCTGGTACAACTTTAAAGTGATTATCAGAAAAAGGGGGAAATCAAACAGGCATTCTTATTAATCTATACAAATAAAAATACCTACAAATATTTGAGTACAAAGTGTTAGAAGAACACAAACTAGAACAAGAAAAGAAAGTCTACAAAAGAATTTGTACTTTTCTGTCATACAACACAAGATTTATTTTAATCGGTCATTTCTATAGTCCTGGCAGCGTACAATGAAAAAATGTAATCTTAGAAAAAGTGCCAGTGAAGCTAAAAATTCTCCATTCTGCTCATTTCAGATCAACGATCCTCTATTTGGGTTTGGCTGAACGACTACAGTGCCAGCAGATAATATAACAGAAAAGCCAGGGTCAACACTTAAACCAGGAGTCATTTGTGAGATATCGGTTAAGTGGTAACCTTGATATGCTATTAAAAAAAGTAGCTGACAATCTCTGAGACACCAAACTGGAAAATGAACCCAAAATGTCTTTTAGTGCATTCTGACAGGCCTATATACATTTTGGACTGACATTGTGTTAATGTTGAAAAAGTTCAAGTTACATACATTGAGCAACATACATTGAGTCCCTTGTTTATATGCTGCCTTATTTTTTTTAAAGTGTCTGATATTGCGTAAAAAGACCATGTGTTTGGATAAACATCTTAGTACAGATAAAAGCATTCAAACAACAGTAGAACTGGACACTCTTTGTTCCCTGCAGCCTTTCTAGTTACATGTAATAGCACCCCATTACATCCAGGTGGCAGAATAGAATATGCTTAAAATGAAGGGCAGTGCTCTCTGGCTGTTATTAAAGGCATTACTGTTAATTCATTACCCCAGGTCTGATGGTACAGATGCCTGAATATGTTAGGTGACCAGTTGGCTCAGCGACACAGAGTGAGGTTAACCTATAAAGAGGCACTCGTGTGATTAAGGCGGCTGAATCCTCATCTCTTTTAATTGTTTATAAGGGATTGTGCATGTTAATGAGTTGATAAGCAACCAGAGAAACAAATAGTGTTACAAAGCATCGTGATATCAACTTTAACAGTCAGGTAATCATGAAAATGACTGAACGGGAGGCACTAGGGTTTTATTTCTGTAAATTGAGCACAATGGAAGCCTATATATATATATATAGTCAAAATTGTTAGATACTAATGAGATAAGTCTTCATTGTAAGACGCTATCATGAGAAATTATGAAATTGTAAATAATTGTCAATTACAAGTCATTACGAGAAGTCAAAATTATGAAGAAAAGTTATAATTAGGACTTTATCCATTTTTTGTGACAATTTTTACTTTTAGGAATTTTTATGACATACTTCATAAATCATAATTATGGGATAAAAGTAAAAAAAAAAATCTCAATTTAAAAATGTACTTTTTTCATAATTTTAATTTTGACTATCTCTGTTATGATCTTTACATCATTATGATGTTTATGCTCTATTGTCTACTTTTTAATCTCATAATTATGCATGTCATACTTAGTATGTCATACTTTTGATGTTTTATCTCATAATGACTTAGTATCTAATAATACTGACGTTTTATCTAATTATTTACCAAAGCATGATTTTTTTTCTCTTATGTAGCAGAAATGGGATTCCATAAAGAACACTGCAGCAGGGATAGACAATAACTAATAAAAAAAAGAAAAAGACAGGGCAAAAAAAGTCTCGGACTACTTTAGGAGACTTAGCTCATAATAGCCAACATAACTCAATCTAAAGCTGCATTTAAAACACTGTGATCACAGGGAAAGGAAACGGCATGATTTAAAACAGTAAATATATCGATTTCTCAAGACAAGGGTCCTGATTAAAATTAATCATACATAATGACCTCGGACAGTATGCTGTTTGCTGAGACACAAGAAAACAATGATAGGACCAAACTATGAAGTTCCATAGCCCAAACTGAACGCAATGTGCCAGTACAATACAGTTTTTATATAGCAAAAAGTTTGCATGCTAGCAAGGCAGTCTTAGTGTATCAGTCCTTCACAAACTGCTATTTTCCATTATACATCACTGTACACCCACACGAGAAGCACACATGCACACGTCGATTATAAACGTATATAACAGGTTAAAAATGAGGTAAGATGAGCGAGGGTCAGATGAGGGGGATGGCCACTTGAAAACTAAAAACCTGCTCTAAAATAGCAAGGTAGAAGATCCTACAGAACATTAAAGCATCATGTTTCTCTCAAACACATACTTACTGATACATATATATATATATATACAGTGGGTACGGAAAGTATTCAGACCCCCTTAAATTTTTCACTCTTTGTTATATTGCAGCCATTTGCTAAAATCATTTAAGTTAATTTTTTTTCCTCATTAATGTACACACAGCACCCCATATGCAAAGGGTCTGAATACTTAGGACCATGTGATATTTCAGTTTTTCTTTTTTAATAAATCTGCAAAAATGTCAACGATTCTGTGCTTTTCTGTCAATATGGGGTGCTGTGTGTACATTAATGAGGAAAAAAAATTAACTTAAATTATTTTAGCAAATGGCTGCAATATAACAAAGAGTGAAAAATTGAAGGGGGTCTGAATACTTTCCGTACCCACTGTATATATTTATATATATATAAGAATATATAAAGTATTGCATCGTTGCAACTCTGAGTTGCAACATGTTGCCTGCATGTGTGACATACACCGAGTGCACAGTCACGGTTCAAACAAACAATGTCTTTATTGCAGCGTGTGTCTGTGGGAATACGTTTAATGACAGGAAGTGCTTTGCAGCCCTATAGCCAGTGGAGGAGCAGGAGGAAGTTGAAGGAAGTAGCAGGAGTTACAGAGAATGCAAATGAGAGCATGGTTTGGAGTCCAGCCCCCTTAGTCTATGGCATAGTGAATGACAATCTCCTTCGGTCTCTCTCAATACGTGTACATAGTCCCAGTTTCATTCCCAGAATGCAGCTGAGCTCCAGGTCAGAGCGTGATGGAGTGAGAGGGAACCAGCATTCTCCTCTCGCAGATCTGCCCCTCTCTCCCGGGATGCGGAGAGTCCCAGGCAGACTGTTACCTGCTCTCATCATCTGTTGGATGGGTGGGACTGTGTGGCCATGATGACGTGCAATGGCCCACCGCTCTCCCCTCGCTGGCTGCCCATCCCCGCCAGCACTGACATGGCCACCGCCTCGGCCGCGGCGCGGGAGTTCAGGCCATTGGGGCCTACCACGGACGAGGGGCTGGGGGCCAGAGAGCTGTGCTGAATGACCGGTGCCGGGGAGCCCGTGGGCTCAGACGTCTCTTTCAAGTGCTCCTCTCCTGAGAGACATCAATAAATGAAGGTTAGATCCCGCAGATGCAGGTCAAAGACCTCAATGTGAGCTCCACTCACCCAAGTAGATGGCTTTCTTTTGAAGGTTGGTGACGGGACAGTCTTTGTGGGCTAACAGCAACTGCTTCAGATGAGTAACTTCGTTTCGCAGATGAGACACCTCGTTCTTGTACACAGAAATACAGGAAAACAGAAAAGTGTGAACATCACTCTTGGTCACAAACTAGCTGAGAACAAAGCACTTGCAAACACATTTGTATCTACTCAATTTCAAAGTATAATGCCAAACCATCAATGCACACAACAAAAGAAATGAACATTTTTTTTTTTAAGAAACATGACAAAAATAAAACAAAATAAGGCAAGTAATGGTAAAACAATTTAATAAATAAATATACAAATAAAAAAATATTTTATATTAAAATAAGGCCAATAATTATAAAATAATAAACAATAATAACAAAAGATAAAACAAAATGAAATAACAAAAACAATAAATACATAAATAATACATACATAAAAAAGTTTTATTCTTACAATAAATACAATTATTATTATTTTTAATAGTATCAATGATAAAATCAATTTGAAATAATCTCAATAACTGTAATAAAATAAAATAAAATAAAAATCTAGTCTCAGGTTATGTTTGGAATGAGATACTAGCAATACTGCAGTATATGTAAAGATATAAAAAAAAAAATGAAAATATTTAAAAAAACAGTATGTGAAACGGTATGCAGTAAAGTTATGCATTTCAGACTAGGGTTGGGAATCGAAAATCGATTCCGATTCCAGAATAAAGTCGTTATTTTTGTTTTCTTTGCATACAAAAAGTATTCTCGTCGCTTCATGAAATTCAGATTGAACCACTGATGGCAGATGGACTATTCTGACGATGTCTTTCATACTTTTCTGGGCCTTGACAGTGTAATTTACTTGGCAGGCAATGGGACAGTCACAAGCCTCCCGGTTTTCATCCAAAATATCTTAAATTGTGTTCCGAAGACGAACGAAGCTTTTACGGGTTTGGAACGACATGGGGGTAAGTAATTAATGACAAAATTTTAATTTTGGGGTGGAGTAACCCTTTAAGATCAGGAATCGGATACTTGCTGTCAAATTAAAATTTCTATCTATTTTCGCCTATCGATTCCTAAGCGCTTTTGTTTTTTTCATCTGTGAGGACCGGACTTCGCTTAGCGATCTGCCAGGACCTTGCTCACTAATCTAAGCGCTCCAAAGTTTGGCTACATTTGCGATCAGAAGCCAAAAAAGCTAAGTATAATATCTGTGATAGCTAAACATGTTGCGAGAGAGGTGTCACCACCAACATGACAAAGCACTTTAATTTATTAGATCGTTAAAGATCGCAAACACGATTCAAACACCAACGTGATTCTATTCCTAAATTACAATGATTCGTCTGTTTCATTCCTCAACCTTTGACG